TGTTAAACGAAACAAAATTGCGAGAGACTACGGACACGATGATAGTTCATCTGTCTAAGGTGGCTACGAGGTGAACGAATTCCAATAATACGACAGGCCTAGACGCCGCTAAACCGCCGAGTCAATGGTTCTCGGCACACTCACTAATGTGTGTATTAATAAAGATATATACAACAACTACGCCCATGCATGGTCTCCATGCGCGGGACTGGGCCCTAATATTAAAATGAAACTGGGCCCGATCAAAACTGAAATCAACGACGAACGCATTGAAGGTGAGAACGCATCAAAGTAGTGTTGGATAATTATCTGGCATAGTGTTATGACTTCATAGAACAATCATCAGGTTCTGAAGCCTCGTAATTGTAGTTAATAATGGGTAGTTTTGCGAATAATAATTTGGGTCATGAAGCCAAAATCATGTATTATTTTCGTATAAAGTAAGGCAATCCAAGTTTTGTTTTACCGTGTTAGTTATCAAGATAAGATAAATCAACAGTTGCTTTAATCGAATAGCGACTTTGAAGCTAAGGGAGTCGATGGAACTAGGATTAAATTCTGTAAATTCTCTAAAATCACAGCAAATCATGGATAATTTAGAGAAATTTTGTACGAGTATTCTAGATTGTCCAATGCCCTCACAGAATCCCACTTAATATCGAGAGTGACATCAAATGATTGGATTCATCTCAGCAACAACCAACGTAAAGAGTTCTATACAACTTAGACGAAGATCGTCGAATATCGTACGGTCGTGTGCATACCTTAAGTGTCGTGTAGAAGCGTCGTAATAGCCCGTGTTGTTCAACAGTGCCGAAACTGCGAAAGCTGTTAGGCTTGTGACAACTCGAAACTTCATAACACCTGCACTCGCTTCACCGATGCTCCAGAGCCCATCAAGTAGAATGGGAATGTTGAAATGCTCCCATTCACAACCCTAAAATGAGAGCTCGTGCTAGCAGACAAGAAAAGATACCTGAATACCCGACACCAAAATATCTTTCAGCACGAATATAAGTTAATATTACTCTGCAGGCATAAGAATTCGAGCTTCTTACCACAAATGCTGGTATAGATTGTGAGTTTAGATATCCAGTAAATGGTAATGGAATTTATATTTTATACCATTTTAATCATTATTAATAGGACTGAAATTGACCCATTCTTGAAACCTTGACGAAAATGTTCAACGACAATATTCCAGTATAATTTGAAGCAACCAAATGCTACTACCGAACTCATCATCCGCACGAGAGAAAACGCATGATAATCTTACATGAAAATTTCATATAAGGCCGGAGAGACAATGTCAACATGTAAAACTTGATCAAGATTTTAAAATTTGTCCAGAAGTTCAAGTTTTTTTTTAGATTTATGTATGCAAGTATTGCAGTTCACACCAGAGACCAAACCTTCACCAATTTTAATTACAGCAGCAGAGCAAATCCCATTTTACTCGCTGATATATCCAGTTGAGTGCAGTCAAAATGACATACTGCTTGAAAGAGAGTTGAGTCAGCTTTTGAAGCTTGTCCACTAAAATTTCGTGATAAATCGACTCGATAAAATTCCTCATCTTCAAGTCTCCTAACTCGTCAACAGTGTCCTGAATTTCAACAGTTCGAGAAAGCAAGGCGGATCGGCATAAAAAAAAATAAAATCAAATACTTCGACTCCAAGACTGGGAATTCAACAGAAATAGCAACAAATGAGTCTGTAAGAATCAAATGAGGTACCAAAAAAGTTACCCAAAAATTTCCTTTGTGGATGTAAGATCACAGGAAAAAAGATTGATTCTATTATCACACAGAAGAGCACTCACGCTGGCGGTTTCATATGTTTCATGTTTTTCATTATGAGCCTCCGTGCCACGTTGTGTACTAGTCAGATCAATCTTTTCTGCAGCCATGATCAATGTTTCTTGCATTTTACTGGACGATATTATCATAAATACTCATGCCGCTTTTTACAACATGATGCATTCGCTGTGTCTAATTTTCCTCGTCTCAATAACCTGTCTAGGTTCCTTATAGATACTTGTCTCACAAATCAGAATGATGCCCACGCGATGTCAATTGTTCCTACTTCCAATTATTGACTATGATCCCATATAATACTCATTTCAAACACTATAGAATAATGCATGTGCGATGTCAATATTGTTCGAGCGGCTGAGGAGATCTTGTGATCTCGAAGCTTGTGTAGAAGACCGTGTGTCTCCGTAACAGCCAAATAATATTCTGCTATTCGAAAATCCTACGCACAATGAGCGTCATGTAACACATGCCTAAAATATAACCAAGATCACACCTATAATATACCCAGAAATAGCCAGATATTGTGGGAATGGATGTCTTGTAACAAAGCTCACGACGTTATTGCTGGGTAGGCGGTGAGCTGGGCCAGCTCGCGTTATTCACGACGGGTTATTTTCATTCAAATGATCTGGCTCACGAAGGCATCAGGAGCTGCACGCAAGGCCCGACAACAACTTGACTATTCATGAATCGTTCATATATTCAGCGTGAGATACACTCGACGCTGAAGTATGGCCAGGAATAACCATATATCTAGGAGACACATCCTCGAAAATCTTTAGTGGGTTTATATGTTAAACTATTGGGTTAAAAATGTCGGAATAAAACTTTTTTACACGAGTGATGAATTTTGAACAGAGAAATAATGGAATATACTTATTACAAATAAAAAATTGTAAAAAAAACTTTTCATATTTATTCGAAATGCTCTGAATTATCGACGCTCAAAAAGTTAACCAGCTTCCTAGCTTCGCATGTCATGCTCTATGTGCATTAAATTGAGATCTTCTGTAGAAGCAACATAGTTTTCGCTTACCTCTTATTTTAAGAATTTTTATTCCAGCAATTAAATGAGCTAAATGATCACATGAGAACTGTTTCAAATTTCCTCTTCGTATGAATTAACCGAAATGTCACGTTGAAATTGAAGTGAATTCATGTTCAGATTTGGAATTTACGGTTAAAATCAATTGTAAATTTTCACATATTTTTCAGTGATGTTTCATTTCTGACCATATAGAACTATTACTATTAAAAAAATTGAGTTACTTTTCTTTGTTCTGCTGACTTTCAACACTTTTTTATGGTTAAATTATCATTATTTTTTTCCAGTTTGTAGAGAGATTGTTGTGTCTACCCTCACTAGCAACGTATAACAGAATGACTAAGATGAAGCGAGCTCATCCAGAGACTGAATGGATGCTCCCGTTCATCCATACACAATTTTCTGTTCTGGGGACTTATTGCCTCTTGATTTTATTGCACATAAAGCCTTTGTTTGTTCAGAGACTCGCTGCAGTTGCAAAACATCTCCATTTTATGTTGCTCGTAAAACAAATATATTTATTGTGAGCGTGCCCTGCTAAACTTCCTCGCCCGGCCGCCTCACTCGTGTTACCCGTAATTCTCGCCATGAATTCGAGTCGACAAAACGACGGAGAAGAAACATCCTAAATTTTACTTATTAACTTCATGGACCTGCTGTGAGAGTGACTGCTATTCGAATTTTCTTTATTGTTTNTCGCATTAATTTATAACTCATACGTTGTTGTCACATTAATTTATAACTCATATGTTTTTGTCGCAGTAATTTATAACTCATACGTTCTTGTCACATTAAGTTATAACTCATACGTTGTTGTCACATTAATTTATAACTCATACGTTGTTGTCACATTAATTATTTATAACTCATAAGTTGTTGTCGCACTAATTTATACCTCATACGTTGTTGTTGCATTAATTTATAACTCACACGTTGTTGTCGCATTAATTTATAACTCACACGTTGCTGTCGCATCAATTTATAACTCACACGTTGCTGTCGCATCAATTTATAACTCACACGTTGTTGTCGCATTAATTTATAACTCACACGTTGTTGTCGCACTCATTTACAACTCACACGTTGTTGTCGCACTCATTTACAACTCATACATTGTTATTGCACTCATTTACAGCTCACACGTTGTTGTCGCACTAATTTACAACTCACACGTTGTTGTCGCACTAATTTACAACTCATACGTTGTTGTCGCACTAATTTACAACTCACACGTTACTGTTGTAAGCGCGACGGCTATACCTGCCGCTCTTACTTCAGCGCCAGTCAGACAACCAAACTTTAACCGTGCAGGAAAGTGAACGTGGAGAATTTCTGACACTTTATTGGTAACGAAGGCAATAGTGGCTACGGGAAAACGTGGTAAAGGGAACAGTGAAAACTCAAACTGAACCCAAAATAAACTCGGAATGAAGTCAAAAAAACACAAAATAAACCCAAAAACCCAGCGGATGGCTGGTACTGAACCTATTGCTCGTGGTTAACCAATAAGATTCTGCAAACAAAGAATAACAAATTTAAGATGTAGCAATAACGGTTAATCCTAGTTATTCCTAACAAAATTACTATTAATAAATATCAAAACTCGAATTTATGTATCACAATATAACTATTCACAATCATCACGCACTAATTTACATGTCACAATAAATGAGGTCACAGAATTAAGGTTCACCAGCAGTGAAGTGCAAAGTTCTTCACGACTAATAGAATGAAAGTGACGCGCTTCGGATAATCAGGATGAACAGACTTTTTCTCTAAATGAAAATTCTAGTAAAGATCGAAAGACAAAAACATTAATGAAAAAATGAGTACAAATTCAAGACCAAAAATATAAGAAATAACTGTTTCAATGATCGCCAAAAAATGACAAGGAAAATCGCGGTACAAAAATTAGAGACGCATGAGGCGCGGCTACATTGTCGCACTAATTTACAACTCACACGTTATTGTCGCACTAATTTACAACTCACACGTCATTGTCACACTAATTTATAACTCATACGTTGTTGTCGCACTAATTTACAACTCACACGTTGTTGTCGCACTAATTTACAACTCTATTTACAACTCATACGTTGTTGTCGCACTCATTTACAACTCATACGTTGTTGTCGCAGTGGTGGAGACGATGGTGCAGGTTTGCGCGGCCGTAGGCCTGCTCGCCTGCTGTCTCCTCATACTCGGCCTCTGCCTTGTGAGTTACTTTCTATGGGAGTCTATAATTAACATCCACTTATTTTGCATGTAATTTATTAAGCTTATTATGCAAATTTCATCCTCAAGATATATTTATTGGCCCTTAATTAAATCAACATCACGGCCCGAGACTCTCAAATTGCGCCGCCGCTGATGAGATGAACGTCTTGAGCGTAGCTGCTCTACCTCACCGTGCCTTGGCTACTATGATAATCTGATCCTGACTAATAATACGATATATACCATCGTCATCTATGGGTAGTTTCATTAGAAAAATGATTTGAGACTACAATTCTTTGATATTTTATGTTTCATATTACAACGAGATTTCTGCCTCCATCATCGATTCTTTTCAAGCATTTTGCTCACAACTGAGCTCCATCTATTACGTTAACTATACAGTACCCGTTTCCCGTTGTCAATAAGATCTTCATTATTAACCTATCAAAATCGATACAATAAATGATCTTATCAGAATTTATTATGCATGCAACTTGGCAACGTTAGCTTGCCACTTGGTACGTGACACTTGCAAGTACACGGAGTAATTCTAAATTTTTTAACATTTATATGCAAATGTGTGCTTTAGAAGTTATGTTAGATACCCAATGACATCACAATGAGGTTGTAATACTGCCTCTCGGCTGTTGCAGGATCAGAAGTACTTTTTGCTGCCCTGGATCATCGATACGTCGGTGTTTATCGTCGTTGACTTCGTCTACGTCATGGGCTCCATAATCAACGCACACGTCAATCTGGAGTACGATCCAGAGGTGAGACAAAATATTGATCATCTACAGTAAAAACAACAAGCTCGCTATTATGAAGAGGAAATCGCAACATAAAAAGTAAAATGATAACCAGTTCTGGATTAACATCATGCATGCTACGAAAGTGCACAAAAAGCTTCCTGTTGCTAATTTTAGCCCATTACCAATTTGACTATTATACGGTAAGAATTTTTGGAGTCGCAGCTTTTTTTTGAATTCTCGTAGAACGAAAAATTCAAAATTTTTGACTCGCGTGATTGCGAATGACGAACTCTCATCCTTATTTGCGTTACGCGAATCGGGTTGTAATTTTACTAGTTTATAATATGCGTTTAGTTGTAGAATTTTATAGCAGACCTTCTTTGCAGAATCGTAAACTGCTGCTCACACACCGTACCAAATGCTTCATTTTGTTATAGACATTTTTTTTACAGGGCGAGGCGAATCACGCTTTGCTGACGTGGCGGTCAAGCTGACGTGTCAAGAATGAATATATAAGCCATATAATCACGAGCCAAAAGCTCGTCATTCCTCAGCCACCCTAACTCAGTTGTGATTCTGGACTTAGCACAAATTTCCGAAATAATGTTTTTGTGTGTAGGATTTACTTTGCATAATTGGCTAAAAAAATAATCGCAAAATCATTTGCTTTTCTGCAGACTCACTCGGACATCGAATTCTCTATGCTCCACACTGTGGTCTTCTTCAGTCTTGCTCTCAATGTGAGTTCACAGTCAAGCTTCAATACCAAATTCAACTCGCCTCCTCTAATTTGCTCATATTCCTAGCATTAACAACTTTAACTTTCCTGCTGACAAGTTAAGTGCACTATGTTCACTAGAATTCATTCCTCGATATTTATTTGTAATACTCATGGTTTAATTTCAGTGCTGTATTGATAATATGTATAGTTTGCAGCCTATAATATTATTAGTGTTTAGAACTACAAGCATCTCCTCCATCTGCATGAAACTCTCACAGAAAAATGTAAATTAGCTGCATTAGTTAGGGAATTACATTTGAAATTATCTCGCTAGAATTTATCTCCCAGATTACCTTCGCAGGCCTTGCACTGCTGTGCTTGCACGCTTTTTGCGCACTGAATTTCTTGAGTTTTTTGGCGAGTGAACTCTACATGTGTTTAATGGCTTGAGCACACATGTTATCTATTAGCAGAACTTTTCTACTTCTACTTATATCTCCTTGTGACAATTCTGGGTTTATATTATTGCTATTTTAATTTAAACATTTTTCATTTACTATGAGAACTGATTTTTAAATAAATTATCCAGATAATCCACAATAGCAAATTAAAGTAGTCGTCGAAAAAATATATAATTGATATTTTTCCTGTGAAAGTGATGGATTTTAACTTACATTATGCACGGCTCTGCGTAGATTAATCTACATATAAACCACGTAGATACGCATAATTTATATTGTTTTCCTTATTCATTTATATATATATTCATATGTAATATATTTATGTATAATATTTTTTTTTATTTATGCAGGTTTGATTGAAAATCAGAGCATGCTTTTTATTAGCAATTTTCTTATTTTTTCAATAAGTCGAACCAAATTTATTGCTGGTGCTGGGAGATAAAAAGCTGGTTACCAAATGACATTTTACTGTCACACTACGTTTTGAATATTCAATATTCATTCTCTAGTAGCTGAAGAGTTCTACAACACTTGGATTCTGGAAATTACATAAATTACGTACAAAAGGTATCTTGTTTAAACGCGGGTGATTAATGGCCAGAGAATTTATTGATTTAATTTTTCAGGATACAAAATAGTATACTGATGAGCGGTTGTACAGGTTTTAAGAGCGTTGAATACTCGATGTATGAGGGCGTTGTGCGCCCCAATACATCGAGTGTCCAAAACCTGCTCGTTTCCTGAAAACTGAACTCCGGACCTGCAAGCAAATTCTTGTAAACAACAGCTATATGCACAAAACTATCGACACCAAAATTTCAAATTTTCGATCTCGGCAAAACCGTATAGATGAATCAACATCAAAAGACTGCGTCACCAAAATTTAATATCAAAATCAAATGAACTTACTTTAATATCAAAATAGGACAGATGAAAGAGTCCTCAATTCGATTGTGCACAATAACATCAGCTGCACAACAGTACCTGACCAAAATAATTAAAGTTCCTGATTCGCTATAAAAACAAGAAAATGAGGAAAAATAACCCGTGTAAAAATCCCGGACCACGGAATAAAACCAATGTTATTTACAAATTATCCTGCACGAAAGAAGGTTGTGGATTTCTCCAGCATGTAAATTACATCGGTGTGACCAGCACGACCCTGAGCCGCAGACTCACATGCCACCTACAAACTGGAGGACCAATGAACCATATACGGGTGGCTCTTAACGAAACTATCGTGCTGGCACGACAAACCGCTTCCTTTGTCGAAACATTTCCAGTTTTTTCACGCCATGATGGCAAGTCTCCAATATCCACAATCGTTAGAAGGCACGTATTTCCCTTACAATAATCTGGCCTTTGCGACTAGCGTATTTGCTTTGGCAAACTTCGTACTGAGTTGTTCGTTCGTAATTTAAGCTGACGAGAAATGTCTGTTCCTGACATCGTCTGTCCCTAAAATGTGGCTTTTGATGTCACTGCGGCGTCATCGGATGCAAAACGAAAAATGGTTCCGATCAAGTGCCAGTCTCGCGCAAAAGTTATCATTGCGAGCAGGAGTTTGAAGTGCTCCATGATAAGGTGGAGTGGATGAACTGACGACGACGGATTCAATGCAAGAATTCTCAGTGACTCGGGTATTGAAATGATGAAAATAACGGTGGGGATTTCAAATGTATCTTAGTTGAATCTCAGATTTGATTTGATTTAGCGGTAACTACAATTTCTGGACGCTCAGGAATATTTTTTATCCCGGTAGTGCAGGTGATCTCATATGAATAGTTACATAATTCGGTTTGGGATTGCTGAAATATTCTACTATGTGGATTATTTTTATATTGGGCAGGGTGGCCTAGTGGTTAAAGTTCAGAGTACCAAGATTGGCGCAGAGAGGCGCGGGTTCGATCCCAGCTCTGTGCGCCAGTTTCTGGTCAGAATCGGCAAGGAGGCCGGGCGGTTAAGCACAGCAGAATTGTAGCAGTGAGTTGCGAGTTCGAGACCGCAAAATGCTACGAATGTTCTGCGATGCTCAGAATCGGCGACAGGCCTACGGCCTAATAAACGCTGAAACCGCTATTATTATTATCTAGATTATAAACGCAGACCTCGAACTGCATCACGTTTAGTGTCGCGCGCAGACGAGTGTCTCACTTTTGGCATCTTAGCACGGCATTGCAATGAAAAATAAGAATGCTAAACGTCGTTCAGTTTTCCCTCGAGGAAGAGGAAATTACTCGCCCTCTCGGGACTAGGGTGGCAATTTTCTGTCCAGGCTAATGACGCAATTTATAACAGGAACAGCTTCGCTTTTTCTTTTGCCAGACGCGTTGTCTCTGCGCGTCTATTACATTGTGCTTTTTTAATACTGGCGTAATTCAATTTTAAAGGCAATGCTTGGCTGATTTAACAATTTTTTTGAACGAACGGTACTTGAGGTTCGTCTCAAAACATTTCGCATAATTTTTTTGTTTATCGAACCATTGTTTTACTTAGTGAGAAAGATCTGATGTCTAAATTTGAAACCAAAGAAGTTTATTTCTATCTTCATAGTTTTGGCTTGGTCCGTAATTTATAAAACGTGAAATATGGTAGTATGCCATTTGTTTTACTTAGTCAGAACTTCGAGGAGGATGTGTTATTCTCAAAGGGTGTGAAGCAAGCAGTTGTTTTCCTCATTGTAGGCCATCACTAAAGCTACCCTATGCATGACTCTGATCAAAACAAGCTCTTGCTGATGAAGGCTCGCCTCACAACGGCATGCATTGTTTAAATGTTGCTTGCAAACTGCTATGGGCTACTGCAGATAAGATAACATGATTCAAGATATTCTCAATTCGAATTTCCACGATAATTTTATGACAATATTTTTTGGTTCTAAAGCGATTTTTTGTGTCATTATTTTTAAAATGTACTGTACTGTTGTAATTCGTACGGTAAAGACATTTAAAATCATAAGTTCCTAAAATTTAAAACAAGTTCCATAAAATTCCTGCCATTTATGTAATTTTCATCAATGTATCGGAAATCGCTTTTAATGACTGAATGTTTGATGGCCTCTGAGAAGCAATCACTCATAGAAATAACTATTGTATTTTTTCAGGACCTTACAAAGATATATAAGTTGAAATTATAACACTGATTTCGTGAAAAGTCTTTAGAATTATTTTAAAACTCTTCTTACTGAAGTTACTGAAAGGTTGTGACAGGTTTCCATCAACGCATCGATTTTGACTGTCATCGACTGAAGCAACGACGTAATGTTTTTTTACTTTATTTTGAGATAGGCATATTAAAAGTTGCTCACGTCGTATCTCTAAAAAGTTTCGGGCTAAATGCCTCTGGGTATTTTTTGTGAAGTTGAGGAATTTGAGGTCATTTGGCACGAGTGGCAGGCGCGTTAAAAACAAGTCTGGGACAAGATTTACGGGAGTTCGTGGCGTTCATTAATCAGAGCGTCTATGAGACGAGCGCGGACGGGTCTTTTGTGCTCGACTGTCCCAGCCACCGTCTATTTCATGGAGACAAGCAAGCAATTTTCTTGATCATGAGGATCCTCTGCCAAGCGCTTGCGAGCTCGTGATTAATTTTTGCCGTTTTCCATTGCTCAATACGTGTAATTTTTGTTACGTCTTGAAAAAATTAGGCTACTAATCGTAAATAGGCAAGGTAGGCAAAATTTTCATAGGTAGGCAAAATTTTTTAACGACTTATTTGTTGAAAACCCTTAAAATAGATTTCAGCTTAATTTTTTGAGCTACGTTAGCATTAAACTTGGACTTTGTATGCACGTGGAAACAGAAAATTTTGATATCACGAAAAACGACGACGATAAGACGTTGCAGTTGCTTTGTTTTTAAATCGTACTTTTTTCTTCGACAATGTGCTTGCGAAGTTCTTCAGGTATTACAATTTTGATATCTGGTCATTTAAAGTCGGGCCGCATAGAATTAAGCAGCTCTCTATATAATGCATGAGGTTGCCCGAACTCTCATCCATCACAAAGATCAAGAAACATTCTATTGAAAAATGAAGCGTATTTTTCCAGAATAACATAATTAATTTACCTTCTGAATAAATTTAAAAAGTATCCCCTTGTTCCTGCATACAAAAAGCCGGTCATGATCTCATAGTCGCAGTATGATAACGTTACAAAAATATATTTTCTATGCGCTCAAAAACGCATTTCAATGCACCAAGCTGCAGTGCAAGATAATATGATTCAGATTGCATTGTAATGCTCTGGTATGCCAGCGCAAGAAGGATGATCGAGAACGCATTTCAATGCCCCATGGAGCAATTAAATGAGCTATGTTCGAGCTAGCATTTATGCATTTACGTGCATAATATAATGCATTTATATGCCTTATATAATGTAATTGTATGCTCTGAAGTGTAATTTAAAGATAGATGCTTTAAAAACATTTTGTTGTTTTGAAGTGTAAACTAAATTAAGAATGGTGATTGATAACTTATTTAATGTTATGAAAGGCAATCTTAAGAATACTTATCGTGAATGCTAGTTAAATTTTGTTCAAATTTTCTTTTCTGTAAACTG